TTTCTTCATTCCATTGACTACACTAACGAGCAATGATTTGACCTTCGTATCGTTGTTAGTGTAATCAGCATGCCGTAAACACATAAATATAATATAGCTTGGTAAGCCAGGAAGTACTCCTTCAGTGAGTTTAGGTTTTAAATCTACATTTAAATAAAAAAAATATTTATGTTTCAATGTAAAACATGAAATGTGTGCGTGTGCACTACAATACAGCTCTGGGAAGAACTTTTTCGACTTCTCTGAATATAAACTTTCTCTTGACCTTTCATGTGCAAATGCATAAACTACATAGAGTTTGTTTCAAATGATGTCGCTAATTATTACGTCATGTGATTAATTATTCATGAGATGTTTGTTTCGAAATAGGTAAACAAAAACCACAAATCACACGAAAGTCAAAGCGAAATAGGTTGAAATGTTGTCATCCTCCATGCAGACTGTCCCCATTTGATTTGTTACATGTTCTGAACACCATTCTATGATTACGCAAGCACTATTTTTAGTTTGATCTCGAAATAAACCATTTTCCGATCACTGCGGGATCCTACGCTATGCATGAAATCAAACATAAAAACAAGGTTGTAGCGGCATCAAAAATCGCAGGGGATTCAACAAATGAGAAATTATTTTTAGTGGATTATGATATACAAATTTGATGATTGTAAATTTCGATGAAGTACCGGTATAAGAATATCTCAATGTCGTATTTCTCTCTGAAAAGTCAGTATTTTGACATTGGACTGAGAAATCAAATTTCAAAATCAAATTATTGGTTTTTGCAGCAGATGTTTGATTCATGACTACCTATGAGAGAAAAACTTTTCAAAATGGCCATCAGATTAGAAATTTTCCCTACCAGAGTGATGCCACGTCACACATATTAAATAAATAAATGTACACAATTAATAAACTACTGGACTTGCCAATAACAAGGTTTCTAATCAGGTTAGATTCGTCTTCCATCTTGTATGCATACATTCCCATATAGACGTGGTCTTTTCGTTGTACGGCCGCTGCTATTGGTCCAGGACTCGGCGTGAGATTACCTGGTGTACCAATGTCTTTAAGAAACAAGAAATGCAATCATTAAACACTATATCAAAACAACAAAAACAAAAAAAAAACAGCAAGGGGCAAATACATTCAATTTGGTATACATTGCATATTCAAACCATGAATGGACCAATCTGACAACAAACAAGTACATACATCCATCTGCAGTGTTTGCGCTGAGTAATACAAGTCTTGGGCACGGCAATGAAATCCAACATACAGAAATTGTACATGATACTTTCTAAAGCCACCAGGGATGCAATACAAATTTATAATATTTGGTTATCAGAACTGAAGCTATACGTAGTAAATACAGCTGTCGTGCAACATTTCAGCCTAAAATGTATTCCTGGTGACAATAAGTGTAACAGATTTTGATCAATAATTTGTCAATATCTGTTATGCACATGGAAGTTGAAAATAATATTTACTTTTCATTCAATCAAATGTAATACATAAAACACTACATGGCATTTAACAGCATATTATAACTCAGAGGATGGCCAACTAAACTCAAATACGCATTTCAATATCTTGTGATATAAATCTGTTACCATGGTAATACTGGTGTGAAATGTTACATAGAGTATACAAGGAATTGACTATTAAAACTGTGTGTGTATGTGGGGGGAGGGGTGTGTGTTGAAAACAATTTTCAAATAAAATTCGCAAAGAAAATTCAAAAACAAATTTATTTATAAGAAAACATAGTACTGTATATGGAAGTAAAATGCTGTAAAAAAAAAAAAAAAAAACCTCAAGGCTCAAAGACTACCCCCAGAGTTTATAATGGTAAAAACCGTAAAATAAAATATTTTTTCTTACTAAGATCAACTCCTCTACTTTTCAATCTGCTTGCAGCCAATTTGACTTGCTTTTTAAGTCTCTTAATTTCCTTCTCATACAACTCTATCTTTTCTCGGAATTCCTGCAAAGAATTATACAATAACAAACAATTCAAGTATCATGGCGAGTAAATGAGGCCAAATAAATGGCAAGGTTGATACAATGTTAAATAATGTGTCTACTTAATAATAAACCTAATTAAAATTAGACACCCATATTGACCATTTAAAAGAAAGAGGAAATTGTTGTCGTTATAACACATAAAAAATATATGCTTTACGCTGTAATATACATTTTAAATATAAATTTAGTCTAAAATAATATTAATTTATTTCGTTAATCATTAAACGTTATTTAATCTATTACTCCACTTTGTTTATACAATCGATGATACGATACATTTATACAATATTTAATTTATGCACGGTTTTTTGTTTGATGTTACCAGGTACTTATACGTGTATTACTTTAATTTTTTGTTACGTACATGCATATATTTGTTATCAACTGAAAAACAAATAAACTGTTTCTATGGATGCAATCCAGTGTTACTGCTCCTATATACATTACATACTAAAATGCCTGACACTAACAAATCAAGCTTTACAAGTACATCAGTTACGTAATACATGAATTAGATATAATTAGATATAATTAGATGTAATACCAATATAAGAGGATTTTTCCTGATCAAATTGTAAAATAAAAATGAGTAATGTTTTATTGATGTGCTGAATTTAAATCAATTGAATCTTCTTTATTGTTTTCAAAATATTCTTAATTTTAATTAATTATTTATATGAAATGTTATGAATGTTACCTCGGTGATCGTTAACAGCTTAGATAGATGGTAATTTTTTTTTGACATTCAGAATAGAGAAATTACGAGTTTGGTTTATTACCGTCAATTTTGAGAATGTTAGAACTTCACAATGGATTATATTAATGACATTCGATCTCAGCTTTACAAATAGCCCAGTCTGTAATAAAGTGAGATGTTATCATCTAGCAATGATGGTTTAGAATAACATAATCCTCTGTTGTGTTTCTGGAACCAAAGTTTGAGCCAAGTTGAAAATGTCATGCTCATAATATTTTCATTTTTATGAGTTTATGCCCCAGGATACAACTTGAAAAAAGAAAAAGAAAAAAAATTTGAATCACCAGCTAATTTTTCAAGTTTGAAAAAGCCACGGAAAATGGTCAAAATTGGCATTTCTACACTGGTTTTAATGAATAGATTGTTTATTCAAATCTCATTCGCAGATTCAAATACTGAATGGTGTTGTACTATTTCTCATTTAAAATATTTGAAATTGGCTCAAAAAAAAAAAATTGCCTGTCGATCACTTACCACATTTTCATGGTTAAGACTAGCAACCTCATGTTGCAAGCTGTCAGAGGTCTTTGCTTCAGACGTATACACAAGATTCTGTAAATTAAAGTGATATTATTAAAATATTGTGTTGAGGCAAGATATGAAATATGCTACAGCCTTTTTATAAACATTCTAATGTTTTCCTTAATTCTTTAAGATTTTAGAACATGACCTGTAGCCAATAGGCCAAGCCTATTTATTATAGAAAAAATAAAGAAATACACTGCATCAGAATATGTACTTAGGATTTTGAGTGAACGCGAAACAACAAATATGCTGCTATCATTACCACAGAGAGCCACTGTGTGTCATTGCTTAGAAACATGAATCTACCCATGAGCCTTTGCACTTTTAGCATGCGTTGTTATGGTAACTTAGGCCTCAATTCCCCCGTGTGCGCCAGTGACAACCTTACACTTGCATAACTAAGATTCTCACCCTGGATATTAGTTTTTGCTGTCTTTGATTATCTTTCCGTAACCTTCTTAATTCCTCTCTCAGCTCATTATCATTGAGTGTAAAATTCTTTCTTTCAGCCTTCAACTCTGCCTCTAATAACCTGTGAATAAAAGAAACAATTTTAAATGTATGCTGTCATTGATCTCCGGAATAGCCGGTGACCATTGGAAACAACACGTCGCCATCGAAGACGACACATTACCATTGGAGGCGACACGTTACCATTGGAGACGACACGTTGCCATTGGAAATGACATGTTATTATTGCATTGCATTTACAAGAGTTACAACCTGTTGTAAAACCTTTCCCAAGGTGTATGGTTCCACTATCTCCTACAATGAAGCAATTCTGACTTTAAACTTTGTTTAAGAAACGTTGTTCAAATAGACATCACTAAAATCTAATGTAGTGTAGTGTGGTCATTTTCCTTTAAAATAAACTACATGTATTTGTATAAATCTACTTTATAAACACATGCAACCACAGATGAAAAGAATGTGGACACTGTGGACAGCTTCCCTCACAGCTATTTGCATCTAACAAAAGAACTTAGTCACTCAAGGTAGCAAATTAGTGGAACAATTGTCATTCTGTAATGTCTTAAAAACAAAAAACATTTATAACTCTTACTGTATCGTTTGACGTTGTGAGAGAAACGCCATCTGTAGTTCCCCGTCTTCATTCATCAACTCGGGATCCTTTTTAAACAGATCAAAATCTGTGTTGACGCCAATAGAGAGGCCGCCGAACTCCTGATCTCGTTGTTTACTCTTGAGATTCAATATCTCATGACGGTGTTTCTCATTCTCCTCATTAAGTACGTTGACTTGATTTAATAGTATTCTGATTGGTGCTTTGCTGTCTTTATTTTCCTCAAATTCCATAAATGCTTGATTTAATGATTCTAGTTTTTCTTTTAGTCTTTGATTCTCTTCTTCAAAGCTCTTTAACTAACCAGAAAAATATCACAAGCAGTGTTACTAAGTATACATGCAGGTTCTGGTCAGTAAAGTCAATGTCACTTTAGGTCCTGGTTGGTTAATATAATTAGTTTCACTTCAGGTCCTGGTTGATTAATACAGTAAATGTCAATCTAGATCTTGATTTGTTAATACAGTTAATGTCCAACTACAATCTTGTTGATCGATAAAGTAAATGTAAATCTAGGTCCAGGGTGGTTAATACAGTTACAGTCAAAAAAGAGAATTGTTGACAAGTATCTTGGTTCTGGTTATGTAATACTGTTTGTGTCTGCTTAGAGATTGATTATCTAAATTTAGTAGAAATAAAAAAAACTTCTTTTTTGTTACCTTAGATACATGTTCAATGTCAGTGTCAGTTACAATAGAACTGGAGCGTGATCGACTGCTAATTGGCGTTTCACGCCCTTCCAGTTCGTACTGCAACTGTCGTTTGTCAGCCTCTAGTTCTTTCACTCGTTTTCGCAGTTTT